CTTCTACAGAAAAGCTCCGCAGATTATAAAAAAAGATTTGAAATCAGCGTTTGAAGAGCTGTCTTCCCTATGCATCATTTCCCGCATGGCCACTTCGACGAAAGATATCCTTCCCTGGTTAGACCCAAGCATTTTATCGCTTTTCGCTATTTATAACATTCTAATGTAGAAGGACATCAAATAGTCTACCATTTCGTCATACTAAACGTGAGCAAAATTTTCTACTTAGTTCACAGAGAGGAAGGTAATCCGAAATGGCACATCTTACTTTGTATCATGAAGTTTCTGCATCTAAAATTGCTGCTTTGTCGCTTTATCAAAATGATTTTATTCATGCACTGCGTTACACATTAAAAATAAGATGCTGCAGGAATTGTTGTTGATAATTAGAAGTAAGTCATATGCATGTGAAAAATTAAGTCATGTAAAAGAACAATGTTAACGTCTGGTCGCTACAAAGCATCAAGAAAACTCAGTTCTTCTTTGAAATCTGGTTGCTTTCGGGGAGCAGAAGCTGTACTCGTACTCGTGGACGAGGTAGACACGTCAATATTTTTGGCTTGATACTTGATGCCAATACCATCTGTTTCGTCGTAGTAAGATTTTGACGGATGAGGTCTACGTTGAGCTGTATAACTCATCGTCGGCCTCGCAGATTGTGACGGAGTTTCACTACGCCTGTAATGTGATCTAACAGCGGATGGCCGTCGGGCATGCTCCATCCCTTTTCTATGACCTATCGTGCTTGTCTGAGTCAACTGCTCTCTTACTGATCGCTTCTGCGGAGGTGGAGAAGGTTTCGTAGTTCCCCTTTTCACTCCAGGTTTTGGGCTGTCTGATGTTTGCCCACTTGATCTTGACTCGTCTGACCTTGCTTTTTTCTGAGCTTCTAATGCGGCCTTAGCCTGCGCTGCACGTTGAGCTTCTTCCTTTGCGCGACGTCGCTTAGCACATATAGCAATCATCCTCTCGTTTTCAGCTACGCGCTGTGCTTCCCTGGCAGCTGCTTCCGCCTTCTTGATTTCGCTGGCCATAGTTACAGGAGCTTTCTTTTTTGATCCCTTGAAAAATTTTCTTGTGATCGATCAAAATCATCGATCCTACCTTTGCAACTTCCGCCGATTTTTCTCCCGACATCAGCGAGAGTTGTGACATCTGGAATTGATTAGAACAGCATATTTCAAAGTAGCTTGGACAATACACTTACTCCTACTAGCTGTTCGACATCAGATCCAATCAGGCAAATCTCATTTTGTTTGGGATCAAACTGTACCTCTTTGAGACTGTGGGATTTCTCGTTATCCAAAGCATGTCTCTAAACAACTATAATTACGCGAGGTGTTGGTCAAGTCTAAGTTGGTAACTACCAGGCGGCCTCTCAGTCTCGCTTGCATCACTAACGGTCCTGTATCCTGAAACTCTTCGGGATTGATGATCTCCGAGTTGATTTTCTGTGGCGTTGGAGGTCCCTTAAGATGAAAGATATATTTACAATGCGAATCAATATCATCTAGCGAGAAAACTGTCACCTCTAATTCTGGAGGAGGAACGATAGCTAAAAACAAATTT